CTTGAGTTTTCACTGATTTGGGTGCTTGGGTAAGTTGCGATTCATCTTGTGATAGTTCGGTGAACTTTCTCCTTGTGTTGATGCTTCAAATCTTGTGTTTTCACTTGGGTAAGTTGCGATTCATCTTGTGATAGTTCGGTAAACTTTCCCCTTGTGAAGATGCTGCAAACTTGTGCTTTCACTGATTTGGGAGCTTGGATAAGTTGCGATTCATCTTGGGATGCTCCGGTGATCTTTCCCCTTGTATAGATGCTTCAAATGTTGTGCTTATACTGATTTGATGCATGTGTAAGTTGCAAATTACCTTGGGATGCTTCGGTGAACTTTCCGCTGGATTAGGTGCTCTCAAACTTGTGCTTTCACTGTTTTTGATGCATGTGTGAGTTGCGAGTTACCTTGGGGTGCTTCGGCGAACTTTCTGATGGATTAGATGCTCCCAAATTTGTGCCTTCACTGATCTGGATGCATGTGTAAGTGGCGAATTGCCTTGGGGTGCCTTGGCGAACTTCCTCTGGACAGATTGCTTTTAATCTTGTTATTTGGCTGTAATATGTGTATGTGTTGCAGTCCCCGATAACTTGTTCAGTCCACCTTTACCCCTTGTTTTACCCAGTGAACCCCGGTATGTGTATGTGTATGTGCTGCGGTCCCCGGTAACTTGTTCACTCCACCTTTACCCCTTGCTGTACCCAGTGACACCCGGTGTGTGTGTGTGTGTGTGTGTGTGTGCTGCAGCCCCTGGTAACCTGTTCAGTCCATCCTCACCCTTTGCTGTAACCGGCGACACCCGGTATGTGTGGGTGTGTGCGCTGCAGTCCCTGGTAACTTGTTCAATCCGCCTTTACCCCTTGTTGTACCCAATGACCCCGGTATGTGTATGAGTATGTGCTGCAGCCCCCGGTAACTTGTTCAGTCCAGCTTTACCGCTTGTTGTACCTAGTGACACCCGGTGTGTGTGTGTGTGTGTGTGTGTGTTGCAGCCCCTGGTAACCTGTTCAGTCCATCCTCACCCTTTGCTGTAACCGGCAACATGCGGTATGTGTGGGTGTGTGTGTTGCTGTCCCCGGTAACTTGTTCAGTCCGCCTTTACCCCTTGCTGTACCAAGTGACCCCGGTATGTGTATGAGTATGTGTTGCAGCCCCCGGCAACTTGTTCAGTCCAACTTTACCCCTTGTTGTACCTAGTGAACCCCGGTATGTGTATGTTATGTGCTGCAGTCCCCGGTAACTTGTTCAGTCCACCTTTACCCCTTCCTGTAACCGGTGACACCCGGTATGTGTGTGTGTGTGTGTGATGCAGTCCCCGGTAACCTGTTCAGTCCACCCCTACCCCTTGCTGTAACCAGTGATTCCCGGTATGTGCATGTGTGTGTGTTGCAGTCCCCAGTAGCCTGTTCAGTCCACCTCTACCCCTTGCTGTAACTTGTGACTCCCGGTATGTGTATGTGTGTGTGTTGCAGTCCCCAGTAACCTGTTCAGTCCACCCCTACCCCTTGCTGTAACTTGTGACTCCCGGTATGTGTATGTGTGTGTGTGTTGCAGTCCCCGATAACCTGTTCTGTCCACCCTTAACCCTTGCTGCAACCAGTGATCTGCGGAATAAGTAGGTGTGTGTGTTGCAATCCGGTAGCCCCGCTCAGTCCTTCCTCTTTTACGTGACCGGTGCCTTCCGAAAATAGTATGAGGTGGCCGGGCACCTGGGTAGAAAAGGGGGCATGGGGTTAAGAGTTAGGGTGTGTCCGATAAGCTTTCACTGCCGCCACCGCTCCTCCAAGCTCGAACACCTCCAACCCCTCTTCCTCCTCCATCACCSACACCCGTTCACCATAGCCGACCACCTCCAACCCCTCTTCTTCCTCCATCACCCACACCCGTCCACCATAGCCGACCACCGCCAACCCTTCTTCTTCCTCCATCACCCACACCGTCCGCCATAGCCAACCACCTCCAACCCCTCTTCTTCCTCCATCACCCTCACCCGTCCACCATAGCCGACCACCGCCAACCCTTCTTCTTCCTCCATCACCCACACCCGTCCGCCATAGCCAACCACCTCCAACCCCTCTTCTT